TGATGGGGTGCAAGGAGAAGTTCCTCGAGTTAGAATATGATGTTTAAGGCTCAGTCAAGTTCGGTGATGGTTCAAATGTGGAAATTTATGGGCAAGGTTCTGTCCTCTTCGAGGGTCTCACAGGAGAACATCGCATACTCACTGGAGTGTACTCATCCCATGGCTTCACAACAACATCATCTCTGTCGGGAACTTGACGAGAATGGATGCAAGGTGGATATTGAGAACTGAGTGATGACGATCTTCGACAACCTTCGAAACGTGCTAGAGCGTGTGAATCACACGCGAAACAGGCTTTATATTCTCAACCTTGATCAATCTCAGCCGGAGTGTTGGCTCGTGAAGAGTGATGATGATTCGTGGTTATGGCATGCTAGACTTGGACACGTTAACTTCTACGCCTTGAAGAAGATGTCGAAGATGGAGATGGTATCTGGGATGCCGTTTATCGACCATGTTGATCGAGTATGTGACGGTTGCTTGGTTGGAAAACAACAACGCATGTCGTTCCCTGCTCAGTCTACCAATCGTGCAAGTGATGCACTCGAGCTGCTCCATGGTGACCTGTGTGGCCCTATCACCCCAGCAACTCACGGAGGAAAGAAGTACTTCTTCCTTGTGGTAGATGACTACTCGAGATACATGTGGGTCGTTCTCCTACGATCTAAAGATGAGGCGTTTGAAGCGTTCAAGAAGCTGAAGGCTGCAACGGAGATGGAACACAAGTTGAAGGTTCGCGCTCTATGAACAGATCACGGCGGAGAGTTTACGTCAAACGAGTTCAATGACTAGTGCGAGAAGATTGGCATAAAGAGGTTCATCACGATACCTTATACGCCGCAGCAGAACGGGGTTATTGAAAGGCGCAATCGAACCGTCGTTGACATGGCGAGAAGTTTACTCAAGAGCAAGAACTTGCCGGGAACTTTTTGGGGAGAAGCTGTCTCGATGGTGGTTTATCTTCTCAACCGGTCTCAAATGAAGGCAGTGATCGGCAAGACTCCGTATGAAGCAATTTACGGACATAAGCCAAATGTGTCTCATCTATGGACATTCGGGTGCGTGGCGCATGTGAAGACGGTTGAGCCGCATCTCTCAAAGCTTGCCAATCGTAGCACCAAGATGGTGTTCATCGGATACGAGAGGAGTTCCAACACCAAGGCATACCGCTTCTACGATCCACGAACCAAGCGTCTACAAATTTCACGCAACTTTGTTTTTGAAGAAAACCAAGCGTAGAATTGGAGTGCAACAGCCAACGATACTCCAAATGGTAACATATTCACAGTTGAATTTCCAACTAATGATGATGCAAGGGAGCACATCCAGGTGGTTGGAAAGGCACCCAACCAAGGTGACCGCAATGGCGGTGATCACCATGGTGCCGACACTGACGACGACGCGCATGGGTCGCGAGGTGATAGTGACAACGACGCACATGGTCGCGAGGTGATAGTGACAACGACGCACATGGGTCGCAAGGTGATAGTGACAACGACGCGCACGACACGGGCGGAGATCTCGGCAACGACATTGACAACGAGGCGCATAGTGACAACAACAATCCAGATTATGGTCACGGTCACGACGACTATGCCGACGACATGGATGTCAATGACGCGGATGCCGACGACCTGGCATCTACCACGCCAGGTACTCAGCCGTCTTCCTCAAGTGCATCGACACCGACACAATTTGTGTCGCCTCCTTCGCGACACAACGGATTCTTCTGGGCCTCGTCGCTACAAGACCCTCAAGAAAGTCTACAAGTATGCAAAGCCAGTTACTCTCGAGTACTTCGGACTATGTTTGCTCGGAGTTGAGGAGCCGGCGAACTTCGTAGAGGCAAGCAAAAGTTCAAGCTGGATGCATGCCATGGATGAGGAGATGAAGGCGATCGAGAGCAATGGCACGTGGACTTTGCTAACCCGACCTCCGAACCAGAAGGCCATAGGTTTGAAGTGGGTTTACAAGTTAAAGAAGGATATGAAGGGTGCCATTGTGAAGTACAAAGCAAGACTCATTGCAAAGGGCTAGGCACAACGTCAAGGAGTTGACTATGAGAAGGTGTTTGCACCGGTTGCTCGAATCGAGACGGTGAAAGTGCTCCTAGCTTTGGCAGGCTTCTCTCAAGATAGCATAAGTATTACGGTGGGTGAACAAATTACTGTCGAGCAATTGATAGAAAAGCGAATAATTATGAGATTATCTAGGCATGATCATGTATATAGGCATCACGTCCGTGACAAGTAGACCGACTCCTGCCTGCATCTACTACTATTACTCCACACATCGACCGCTATCCAACATGCATCTAGAGTATTAAGTTCATAAGAACAGAGTAACGCATTAAGAAAGATGACATGATGTAGAGGGATAAACTCATGCAATATGATATAAACCCCATCTTTTTATCCTCGATGGCAACAATACAATACGTGTCTTGCTGCCCCTGCTGTCACTGGGAAAGGAAACCGCAAGATTGAACCCAAAGCTAAGCACTTCTCCCACTGCAAGAAAGATCCATCGCAAGAGGATTTGAAGGTTCATCATATTGATGTTAAATCCGCTTTCCTCAACGGTGAACTCACAGAAGAAGTGTACGTGGAACAACACCTCGACTACGAGAAGAAAGGAGAAGAAGGAAAAGTTTACAAGCTCAAGAAGGCACTTTACGGGCTGAAGCAAGCGCCAAGAGCTTGGAACGCAAAGTTAGACCGAAGTTTGGTCTCACTCGGATTCAAAGGATCGATGTCCCCTCAAGGATCCGAAAGACAGTCTACCAGGCACCGAAGAACAGGTGAAGATCGACGCAACCAAGGAGGAGCGTTGGCGTCGAGCATTGGATGAGCTGACGAGAGTAAAGGCGGTCCCTGAAATGCTGCGAGGAACAACGAAGTAAATGTCGACAATGACACCTATGAGCAGTAGTTATCGCATTTGGGATCCAGGTCGCACCGAGGACGTCGTGTTTAGGGGGTGAATGCAGGAATAAACATGACGTCTAGTGGTGTATCCTAGTCGGACTCTGATTAGGCACCTATAGTAGTAGTAGGATTAGGACTCCTAATCGACTAGGTTAGATTGCTAGTCCTAGATGCTATATATACGCACGTATACCCCTGTAATCTGTACCAAGAAAAAGAGAAAAGCAATACAAAGCCATCAAAACCAATAGTTTCGTCTATCGTTTCGTTCGCTAAGTTTAGCGGGAGTTTTCGCAGAGATGTCCCGTCGAATCGATCCAGCAAGCAAGGCCAGACTACTTCACGTACGCGCATACACCAGTAATGTCGTGGTATTCTCACGGGGGGTGCAAGACGACATATGCCACAAGGTGGCTTCGTGTGAGGGCAAGACTGCTGCTGAAATATCCAGGGACGGGTATGCGAGTAGCATGCGCTAATTTACCCAGGTTCGGGGCTCTCCGGAGAGATAACACCCCTACTCCTGCATGTCTGAGTATATCTGGTATATATGATACAGAGTGCTCCTGGAGCTGTATCTGAGGTCAGTGTCATAGGCATCTGGCATCTGGCCTTGTATATGCCTCGTATGTGGCATGCTAGTGGTTGGCCATGCTCATGGCCGTGAGCATGTGGGTGCTCATGCGTGAGTGCATGTGAGCGTGGGGGGAGTGGATGGATGGATGGATGCTATATATAGTGTGGCTAGCTTAGTATGTAAGCTAGGTAGTGGGCATGGGTAAGGCATGGTGCATGTCATCCTTGTCCCCTGGGTCACTTCATAAATAGTGTCAAGGGACAAATGACACTATACATGATGGCTGAAATGACACATGAATAGTGCTCGGGTACGGCCGTCTCATCGGTGTCGGGTCGAGCTGCAGTCGGCAGCCGGCTGGTGGGCGCAGTCGGCAGCCGGCAGCCGGCCGGGCAGAGCAGTCGGACGGGGAGCCGGCAGGAGCGGCCGGGCAGTTGGACTGAAAGGCTTTGCTAGCCCCGATGTCTTGAAATATTGTCTTGCCGTCTTCGGGGTACCCGTAGTCAATTACTCCGACAAGCAAGCAACGCCAGGCTACTTCACGTACGCGCATACGGCGAGACGTGCACAGGCACGTACAGGAATCCATCCAGCTGCTTACTAGCTAGCTAGCTTTGCACGTACGTCGTACGTTGTGTAGTTCCTTGGCAATTTGGTCGCCAACATATACATATTCATATTAGTTAGTGAGTTAGGTTCTTGGTTTTCTGCTCGAGTGAGTATCTTGCATCATCAGTTGAGCTTCGTATAACTGACGGCTATGCAACTGTATTTTCTCAGTGGACAAAAAACCGATTTTACTGAACCAAATGTATAGGGCAAGCTAACCAACTCTACTGCAGAAAACTAGTACTCCCTCTATAAACTAATATAAGAGCGTTTACGAAAAGAATCCTAATTTGACATCAACAATTTGTTTTGCCTCCTTCAGAGTACAGCTTGCATGCGATTTGTCCGGCGTCACATATGAAGAGTGCAAGATGCAGCCATAGAATTAAGAATGTGATGATGCAAACATGAGTGAGAGCATATCCTCAGATTATGTAACGCAATGCAGATCATAACGCCACCAGGCATCTTTGTTTATGCACATCAGATCCATACTGCATTGGGTTTCAAACACCATTCTATAAAGTATATAAGAGAGAAATCATTTGCAGGAACTATGTATTGTGTGCACAAGAAATAGCTGAACCAACCCTTTCCAGGCACGCGGTATGTATGGACGCCGACTGACATTCCTACATGAGTATGTATACGTATGTTCTCAAGTATCTATCCGTCTGATCAAGACCATGTTCTGAGGCTAACGACATCGCAGATCATGGAGTTGTCGCCGTGCTTGCTTCGAGTAACCAACCAACCATTACAAGGAATCTACAGGAACCTGGCCGTGCTTTACAGTGGGAGATGTCTGAACAGGAGGTGACTTGAGGATGGTATAAGTAGGTAAGGTGACTTGCATCATGCTCTCGTATGTCTGAAGCCTACTGTCATCACTGCACAAAAGGAGCACATCACCTCGATTAGTTGCTTATCTCTGATGAACAGACATATACACTAGGATGATTTCTCTGCACAAGTAAGCATAGGAGCAAACTTACCCCGTGTTTTGGCCGTTTGCCCGCCGGTTCGACGGCCCTGCTGCTGCTTCTGGTACCTCCTTGACCTCCAGATCCAGCCTTGGACTTATTGGCTGCTGTGTACATAAACGCAGAACAAAGAGAGAAAACTACACGAGTGAGTGTGATTGATCACTCAGGGAAGAGGCGCATAAATAAAGAGAAGAGAAAGGGGTGTGCTCACGAAATCTGCTCCCGTCGTCATTGCCGCACACTTGGCACTTGCATTTGGAGGTGCACTTGATGTTACGCCTCACGCAACCGCAGCGACTGGCGCATTCGGTTTGGCATTTACACCCAACGGCAGACTCCTTGGCAGCCTGAAATAAGCGCGTCGCATTTCAGGTACTAGGCACTTGGCAGAGGTCAGAGCAGAACGGCATTCATGAACTAGGTACTGTGCTCTCCTCTAAAGAAGAGGAGCAGAAAAAGAAGAAGAAGAAGAAGAAGAAGAAAAAGAAGAAGAAGAAGAAACCTGCGCCTTCCCACGAGTCATCACGGTCGAACCTGAAGCAAGATCCTCAACCTTGATCCCTAGATCCTGGAGCTTCTCCTCATGGGTCTTGGTGTTACCGCAGTCCTTGCAGTCGCAGCGCTCAAAACAAGGCAAGTTAGCCCTGACACATCTGCAGTAGCTGCAGGCAGCAAATCAACAAGCAACAGTAAAATTGCAGCACTGGACAATTAGTATATCAATTAACTAGCTACTTGATGGATGCATCTGGTTGACATAATTCAACTCTGCATACAAGTTTTGGCACTTGGACGAGGCACAGTGGCACGGCTGTCGCGCAGACCCTGGTTCTAGTTCTGGCAATGGCTTAGGTTGAGGTTGAGCGGCAGCTTGGTCAGAAGCAGGCTGGGCAGCGGCAGCTTGGTTGTATTCAGCGAATTGCTTTGTGATCGTCTTCTCATTTCCCAAGATGTTCTTGCACTTAGCACGGCACTTGCAGTCCTTAGAGCAGACCCCTTCATTTGTGAAACAAGCACAACCGCTGTACATAACAAAACAATTCGCAAGCTGGTTGGATGGATCAGTTTAAAAAAAAACTGGATAAATCAGGTTCATGTAATTTCAATTGTTTGCGGTTTTGCACGTACCCATGGAAGCAATTGCGGTCGGCACACGAGCACGTCTGTTGCGACATCACGGCCAATGATGAGGAGCTAGCTGCAATGAGAATATGAGATGCACAGTATGAGACAGGATGCATGGTGTGCGATGCACGATCAAACTTGCTCAGAAAACTTATGTTGAGCTAGACAATTTCTGAAGAAGGCAGATAAACCAACAGTGGGATTGTGCTCAAAAATCTAAACTAGTACGTACAATTGAATAGGAAAAACCCATGCATCCAACTAGATATCAGAGATCTACACATGCTCAAACTTACTGCAATCCAAAGCATTATGCGCAGCCGCAGATATCAAAGATTTTTCAATCCGCATTACAGAACAAAGTTTCCAAGCGTCAGAGTTCAGAGTTAAATCTACAGCCAGCAAGCATTCACGAACCACGCCAGCAACTAAGAACTCAAGTAAACTTTACATTATAGCAGATGAACCAACTAGTACATGACTCATTAACTTTGTGGAAGCAACTGAATATTGACACTCAGCAAGGGGAGAGATAAATATAATGGGTTCAGCAACCAATTTTGCTCAGAAACTAACAAAATCAGAAGGATATTCTGCTCAGAATACCTAACAAACAATACAGTAGGTGGCACCCTTAGCAAGCATTCATGAATCATGCCAGTAACTTAGAACGCAAGTAAACTAGCAAATGAATCTCAACATCAGCAGATGATTGAAATACAAATGCATCCGAATGCAAGACAAACAGAACCTGTCATCTTAAAGGAACATCATGCAGGACAGCTCATCTTACAGCAATGTGCACACAAATTGGGCTAAGCAACGCACCAAGAACAAGTCAAGCAAAATTGCATGCCACTCGTTAAATAGATCAGCATAACACTAAGTAATCAGTTGCAATATCTGCACGGAATACACTAACAAGTAACAAACCAATAAAGCAGTGGCAGCTCCCCTGATCCATCCAATATCTGCTGGGAATACACTATCAAGCATCATTGGCATGATTCACGAATCACAGCAATAACTTAAGAACTCAAGTAATATGATACCTAATAAATAAGAACAGAACAACCGGGAGCCTGGGACGCGAAACCCGGCCAAAATCAGAAGGGTTTTTTTTCCTAGAATACGGTAACAAACACAGTTGGTAGGACTTTTTCCTGGGAATACGCTAACAAAAAAAAAACCAGTAGCAATCATTCATGAAGTACACCAATAACTAAGAACCCAAGTAAACTATATATTGTATTGTAGCAGATGGATCTCAGCATCAGCAAGTGCCATAAATACATATGGTTTAGAGCGGGAACCAAGAAAATTTAATAAAATGAAACGCTTCATTAATTATGCATCCGAATGCACCATGCCAATGGAATTTACAGACTATACTTAACAATGAACTATAACTAATTTGGGAGAACATGCGCGGAATCTTGGCTAGGAAGCAAATGCATGCATCCATCTACATGGTTGATGAATGTCAATCGAAAGAAGATGAATGCTTGCCTGGAGAATTGGAGCTAATTAACTTTGTGAAAGCATCTGTATCCTAGAAACCACCTAGTACTTAACACTCAACAAGGATTGACAGATATATAATGGGTTCAGCAACCAATTTTGCTCAGAAACTAAGAAAATCAGAAGGATTTTTCGCTCAGAATACCTAATAAACAATACAGTAGGTGATTGAAATACATCAGCAAGCATTCATGAATCATAGGAGTAACTTAGAACGCAAGTAAACTAGCAAATGAATCTCAACATCAGCAGATGATTGAAATACAAATGCATCCGAATGCAGGAAAAAGACACGGTCTATCACTGTAAACGGACATCACACAGCACAGCTCATCTTACAGCAATGTTCACACACAAATTGGGCTAAGCAACGCACTAAGAATAAGTCAACTAAAATTGCATGCCACTCGGTAAATCTACAGCGTCAGAGTTCAGAGTTAAATCTACAGCCTACTACAGAAGAGACAGGCATTCGGTCGAACAGCCTGAGTGCACGTAGACTGATCGACTTTGCTCAGGATTCAGGAACATGGCCAGTAGCCAGCAACGAATCGACCAAATCGTTGTCATAGACAAGAATCTACTCAGCTAACGATGGATGATGAACCGCATACATACTGGACACACACGATTTCTTCCCACACAATCAATCAATGGCGACGCGCGTCGGAGGAGCACGTCGGAGTGGCGCGTCGCGAGAGGCAGAGAGGCACGCGAGCTTGGCAGCTTGCTCGCAGTCGCATCACGCATGCGGGCGCGCGCGCAGCGGCGGGTATGCTTCTGGAGGCGGGGTCGGGGAGAGACGCGTGGTGCTTGCTCGTGTCGCGCCTACGGACGCGCAGCGGTGCGAGCGCTACGGAGGAGCGCGGCGGTTTCTCCCCGGCGCATGGGAGGAGCGCGTCGCAGGGGGTGCTCTCGTCGCGGTCGGCGCGGCGAGAGGCTGCTTGCCCGCATCAGGCCTACGGGTGCGCAGCAGCGGAGCGGTACGGGGGAGCGCCTCAGCCTCGCCCCGGCGCGCGCGCACTCGCCGGGAAGAGCGGCGCGGTGCGGGGAGGCCTCCCGCGGGAGCCGCGGCACGGAACTGTAGCTAGGAGCAGAAAGGGGAGGAGGAAGCGGGGGCGGGGAAGCGACTAACCGACGAGGAGGAGGAGGAGGAAGAAGAGGAAGCGGGGGCCGCCGCGGTCGCCGCTGGGCCGCGCCGCGCCGTCGCCGCTCCCCGGCCTGCCGCGCCGCGTCCCGCGTGGATGGTGGTCGGTGGCGAAGCGGAGGCAAGGCAGCCGTTGCACGGCTTCGCTTCCAACTTTAAATGGATGGATGCGCGGCCTGGGTCGGGTCGGGTCGGGTCGGGCTGCACGGGCCCGATCGATTGATACTGCCTTTATCTCGTTACGTGCCCCTCAAGTTTCTGTTTTCCTTTTCTTTTCTTCATCTTCTGTTTTACTAGTATCAGAAAACGCACCCCTCTAGTTCGCGCAAAAAATGAAAAAAAAATTACCCCTCTTGTCAGCTTATTGCTAAATGCATGACGAGCTCCATAGAGCCCTTTATTTTGAAATTTTTGAAGACCATATTTCAAAGTTTCAAATAAATCTAAAAAATCACACGTGTACAGTCGGATGTATAGTACATGTGTGTAAAATTTGAAAATGACATACTTTATGGTGAGAGCTACATAAAATTTGAAATGATGAACGGCACACGCACTGCTCACTACAAAAAATGCCAATCAACTAAGAGTGTGGTGATGGTGATGGTGTTCATGTATCATATGAAGTGGACTATGGTTAATGGATGATCGCAACAAGGACGGACATGCCAATCAACCAAGGATTTGGTCGTGGAGCTCATTCAGCTCAGGAAGGAAGAGGAACGGTATGTGACATGCGAGGAAGAGGGTGTGGTGTGCTTGTTCTCTCGTAAGAGTGGTTGGGTACCATCAAATGTAACGGTGAAGTAACCTAGCAATAAGTATTTCCCTCGATTGAGAACAAAGGGTTATCGAATCCACAAGAGTTCTTCCAACAAATAAGTTCTTCGGTACCTGCACATAAAACAAAAAAATCCATGCCCCCAACATTTTAAGAAGTTTGTTAAGCTTCTTGTCCTGCTAGTTATAAGGGTAAATTGCATGGTATGGTAGGAAATAATAGATAGAATAAATGAAATAGTACAACAAGGTAAAGTGTTTTTAGTGATGTTTTCAGTAAAGGAAAATAGACCACTAGTGGCATCTCTCCAAGAAGATAAGTGTGGTGTGGTGAACAAATTACAATTGGGCAGTGATTAAATTGCAATATTTATATTTATGAATATTATCATTCATAGTATAATCTTGCCTAGGCATTATGTCAGTGATAAGTAGACCATTATCCAACTGCATCTACAACTAATGCTCCACCCAAGATAGATATCCACCATGCATCTCAAAGTATTAAATTCATGAAAAACAAAGCATTGTAATAAGCATGATGACATAATGTAAATAGTAAAACTACCATCCAAGAGTAATAAAGAAATCATCTTTTTATCATTAATAGCAACAATACAATACCTATAGTCGGGGGTAGATCACCGCAAGATTAAACTCACTACCATGCACAACTCTATCTGAAGAACTACCTATCAATTGTTGCCATAGATGACAAATAAATTGGAAAGCATAGTTGGCTACTTAATTATACAGCAAAGGAACTTCCTAAAATTCAATATAATTCAATGACCAAACTGATCATAAAGTGAAAATTCATCATATCTCAACAAACACAACCATCGATTAGATCACATTGATCCCGATCATGTGAGGCAGCTAATTGAATCAGAAGGGAGAGAGGATGCCATCTAGCTACTGCTATGGACCCTAAGCTCCTAAGGAAACTACTCAAGCATGGTCATGGTGGCAGCAAGGTCGATGAAGTTGGCTCTGGTGATGGATTCCCCGTTCGGCGGGGTACCAGAACATTCCTCCAGATTGAATCTCCCCGGAACATGAACTTGCGGTGGCGGGAAAAATCACGAGAAAATGGTACCGACGGTTTCTCAAATTATGGGATTTATAGGCGGAAGAAATGACGTAAGGCGGTGCACAGGGGCCCACGAGGCAAAGCCACACGGGTGGTCCCCTGGCCGCTCCGCCATGCCGCGTGGAGGCCAGGGTCCCCCCGGCCCATCCCGACAATTCTTGGTATCCTCTGGACTTGAAAAAAATAATAAAAATCCCTAGTGTTTTTGGAGGTCCATAGTTTTTGGAAAGTCAAAAACATGCAGAAAAAGGCAACTAGCTCTGGACACTGAATTAATAGGTTAGCCCAGAAAAAATAATAAAATTGTTATAAAAAGTATGGAAAAGTGGTATTATAATAACATATGAAACAATCAAAAATTATAAATACATTTCAGATGTATCATGGTGCAGGTCGAGGTTGGAACACATATGTCCCTAGGAAGCGTGTGTCGGGTGGTGCAGGTCTCGAAGATGAGGATGTGGATCTTGATGACTCTCGGCTGTGAGGCCCTTGAAGCCACTAGCAAA